AATATATTTCTGATTAACACAGTATTCAGCATTGATACCCAAGTCATACTGTACACTTACTTACTTTCTGAAACACTGGTTGAGGTTACATACTGGATGCTGAACAGTTTAATTTTCTTCTTTCAAAGACCATATGCATGCAGACGTACAAAATAGGAATATCAAAGAATACAAATACAATTTTCTCTTCTTTCTCCTACGAATTCTAAAATAATGAATCAAAATTTTTGTCTCTGCCTGATGCTAACATACTGAGTATCTATTCCAGCTGACACACATATTGTCCAGAGAGAACAACTGTTAGAGAAAACCCGTTTGAGATGTCGCAGCTGTGTATACTAAGATTCTTAATAATTTCAGTAACATGGACACTAGAATCCTCAACATGAAAAAAACCCTGTCATTCCAGTGTTACATAACCTAACCACAACAGTTGTATGTATCTCATTTAACATGCATTCTATTTTAGGATTCCACAGTTAAATTCTTTGTTGCTCTTATTATGAAACTAAACAGCATTCACAGCATAAAACTGAGATTAGGACTCGATTGTCACGCTATGTGCTTATAATTTAAATTCCTACATAAATATCCACATAATAATCCAGATTTCACTACTGAGCAATAAGGCTATCTCAGTAGTAAGATAAACAATCACTGTAGCTAGGGAAAAAAATACACACCTTTATATTGCTGTGTTGAAATTGAGAGATCTAAGAAGGGGGTTGAAAAAGGCAAAGAATCCTAAGGAATTATAGCTCGAGTTTGATCTGAAACCTGAAGCTTATATGATTTGTCATGAGTAAGATGTTTGTCCCTGAAATGTGCAAAGACGGAAAAATATAACAATTCCAAAAATATACAGTGACCTGATTTACAAAATGTTACGGGTTGTGGAATGACATCATAAAAAAGATTTTTTTTCATTGTGTTCTTTTAATGAGGCAAGGTTTTAAGCTATTGATTGTTGAAAGATATACTCAATTAACACTCTTCTGCTGTTTATCTCATGAACCAGATGAATTTTGTGTTTACTTTGGTCTAAATTATTTATTGAATGCTTATTCTCTTTTCATTATGTCAATTCGTCATTATAGCATGACTTAGAGAAAATGTAAGTAGAATAACTATGAAAATACAACAATCATAAATAATTTTATCTTTCCTATCAAACTTTCCTCTTCATTACGTTTATCTCCAACACTTCACATTGCCCAAATTTCCTCCAAGAGAAATGGTGCAATTTCACTCAGGCAAATAGTGAAACGGACATCTTTTATATTAATCTATTGTTGATTTATTGATGACGACGTAGTTTGGTAGTAAATATACTTACATGAAAAACACAGCAAAAAACTACTAGCAATTAAGTGCAGTACAGCATGCAAATATTAAATACAATACTACTATAACATGATACAAGTTCTGTAAGGAGAAATAAGAGATACAACTTTTATTGAATGATAGTCCAGTTCTCATGGGCATTAACTGATCAGGAAAAGTGCAGTACTCCCTCTTGAAATTCAAGTACCCTTTGGCCAAACTTCCTTTCTGATATAACATCTTTTCTGGTTCCAGTTAAAAAGCAAAATAAAAAATGTCAATAGTATCATCAATGGGATAAAAATATTAAGGCCTTTTTGAAAATGAATCAGGTGCAGATATTGAACTGTACTTTTTCATCCTTTGTCTCACTTTTCAAATGATAATTTCTTCCACAGCCACCATTAAATCTTGATCTATTCCAGCTCTCTGTATGGGTCATTGATTCTAGATGTACCATGGTTATTTTTAAATGTTTCCCTTTCGTAGAGAAAAGGGGGCTGTCTAGAGCCAGATGGGTAACTTCACACTTCATTTATCAAACCCAATGCATTAGACTCCACCCTCTCTTTCCCACTATTGCTGTTAAATTTCCATATAATTTGGTAACAATTTTCATTATCATACAGTGACCCTAAAAAGTCTATACAGGCTTGCATGGTTCATCCAAAATTCACAGCTGTTCCCTTTACCCTCTATTTGTTACAGTAGAATCTAAGGTTCCCCTTACTTTATAAGCTGAACAGTGACCTTCTATAAGCAGAGGTCAAGAAGGGGTCAGTTCAAAGGGCTAGAGTAGCTCTTTAACAGCTATAACAACCTGTCCATCAGGCACTATCGTGCAGTATAAACAAATCTGGGGCTTCAGAGACCCTGGACCATTTCTGTTAACACTTAGAGGACATTCACTGAGTCCTACCTGAAGTACTTTGGATCACTACCACTCAACAGAGAACAACTTGAACCCCTACAAGACCTGCTCAGATACTTAAAATACTGATGACACCTTTGAGTCAAAAGCATATGAAATTTTGAGCTGCAACACTACGTGCACTATGATGTGTTTTGGACTACAGAGCTGAAGTAAAAACTAAAAGAGTAATTTCAGTTTATTAATATGCAGAGACAGTTACAGCATATAGCAAATAATGCAAGGACATACCGTAACCAAATAGATACATACTGAAACAGGTCATATGCTTTCTCTGAGAAAGTGTAACTTTCTAAAAGTTGAATCATTTTGTAACAGTTCCCAGCACACATTTTTTTATTTTTATTTAAGGTATCAATGAAACAAGTAAAACCCATGAAAGAACAGAATGTTTACATAACTCTGCAAAGACCAAGTGCAAAGTTTTTGCCTGCTGCCCTTCCTTCATTGACCTAAATTTCTTGAAGTTGTACTGCTCATAATGTGCTCTCTAATGCACAATGTAAGGTAATTAGAGTCATCTGTATTTAACGTCCAGAGAAAAAAATTCTATTATCTAATCTAGCTGATCCCCTGATAGCCCACTGAAAGTAAAATACTGTAACCTACTGCCTGCCCTTTGACAAGTGCTAATTATTTCCTGTCCAAGCACATTTTTCTCATGTAATTCCAAAGTACACAATAGACTGATCTCTAAAACATGGGCAGCCCTGCTAGTACCACAGCAGACGTTTTATAACTTTCACCACCGTATGCCCGATGGCTACCACAGTCAGTGCTTCATTCCAGACATCTAGCTGAAGCTTTGATGAAGTAAAGTGAGGTGTATGGTAACAGCCTGTTTATGCATATCATATGGATGAGATTCTCAGATAGGTCACTGGAATGGGAAACATCAAATGGAAAGAAAAGGATTATGGATATTTAATACTCAAAGGACGCTTTCTTTCAGAACTTTCAAGGCACAACGCTCTTGAAATTTTATTTCAGGTGTTTAGTTTTAAGAAGGCCTGCACTTCATCTGCTTGTGCCTCTCCCCACCCCCAACACAAGAACTTCAGCATTTCTGTGTCAGAGACTAGACTATGTCTACAACACCAGCCTCCAATTACATCGTGAGGAGCAAGCAGAGGCCAGAAGCAACGTAACACTCATTGCTTTTAAATGAGTCCAGATTGCCACAATTCCTGATGACTTTGTATATTGGGAAATCATTGTTAAACTAAACAAACACTAAAAAGATATTCCACTCATTGGAATTGTTTAGCCTTTTCTTATCTCTAGGAAGCTTTCTATTCGCATTCACAACAAAGACGCATGTGGCCCACAGAAAAGCCTTATGCGATTTCTTCTGTTTCCAATGTAGCCAAACCATTTGCATTACTTAGTAGGCATGGTGATAGAAGGCAAAAATACCCCACAAAAATCCCTTAAATTCATCAAAAGGAACAAACAAAAGCCACATGATAATATCAATAATATTGTAGAGCGGCCTCACTAAACTCTTCCACTCTGAGATCTTAACTGATTAGTATACAAAGGAACATTTCATACTCGCAAGAATGCAAACTTATAAAACACAGCCTCTAATTTGTATAATAATTGCTACTATGTAATAATGTTTAATTTTTATCTAAAGCTTCTAAACTGTTTCAAGTCCACTCACTGTAATTATTGGGAACAGCAAAGCCACTCAACTGTCAGATCCCATATCGACAATTGACTTTTTAAACTCAATCTTGTAGAACCTTCAGGAAATTTCCAGTATTATACACTAACAAAATACAGGAGAACTCCCTTAACTGGAACCTTTAGTAAATGTAAAAAAATACACCAATAAGCTACTAATTTTGATTAACAAATTCTGTTAAAGATACTTTTGACTAAAAACTGTGCTGAACTGTAAGCACAGGACATCTCATTTTAAAGGAAAACTGTGCATTTGGTAGAAATATTTCACAGACTTACAAATTTTATGTATCATAAATAAGAAAAAAATAAGGGATTACTTAATGAATATAAATCTATATATTTTAGAAACAGATGTGAAAAAAGGTGACATTAACTCATTTAGCAGCTAAAAAGAAGGACACAAAGTGGCGGACAGTGGAAATTCTCTTTTTTGAATTCTTGTACTTCTGAATGAATTGCAAGTATGATGTATCTGTACTTTCTGAAATGCATTCATCTGACTACATTCCAGTAACAAACTTTTTCAAATAAAAACATAAACAACTTTTTCAAATTGTTAACACCACCATCTGATTTACCACGGCAATGAGTTCAGTTTAAGAACTCCAGTATAATATAACAGTCACACAACACAAACTCCAGCAATTTATGCCAATCTTGCCCAACACAACCCAGTTAACACTGGTAGGACAGCACAAGAATATGTGAGGACTGTGAAGAAAGCAGAAAAGAAGGGTAGCTATCAGCATGGCATGCCAGCAAGGAGTATTGCTCATGTTGTAAGTAACATGAGGAAAACCTTAAGGTGATACCAATCCTCCAACATCAGTATCAAGCTATTATCAATAGACTACACTCTGTAAGCACAGTAAGGGAGCATTCTACCCCATCAAGTAACTGAAATCAGAAGCAAAAATATTGACTATTCCATTCAAGGAAAACTTAGGATTTTTTTTAAACACCAACTTGCCCCCACCAAGGGGATTTATAAGAGTGGGTTTTATATAATTGTTTCCAATTTTAATTATCTTGCTATTTTTCAAGTATTTCTCACCTTGCTGTCCATTCCTTACGCAGCCTTTGTCGCTCTGTAAGAACTAGCAAGAAGCACCTGATTGTTTTATTCCTTTGTTCCTCAATTCGTTCCTCTTTTTGAACTTCAGAGAGGACCAGGCTTGTCTTAAAGGGAAAAAACACATAAAAATTATAATCTAGAAACAGGAAACAATGTGTAAAATTAATAAAAAGCCCATAAGCAAATTAGGACAGTAAATCAATAGCTTTTTTAATTACAGTTCCACTGCTGACAAATCAATACAGTAAATGATGGTTAGAAATGGCCACCATATATTTGGTATTTAATCAATATACATGGCACATAAGGTAAACCTTAAAATCTCATCGCCTTAAGTAACGCAACAAGACATTGTGCATTCGAGCTCTCATTTTCTTAAGACATAATTATTTTCTTTTCTAAACACATTCTTGTATCAAATTATATCAAGAAATGTTTCCCTCAATAGAGCATTCATTTGGGCAATTACACCCTCCTATTTGATCCTTGGTGAAGCTAAAGAAGAAAATACCTGTTTGTATTGTGTCTTCTGAAAGGAATTTCTAATGATTTCCCTGTGTTCTCTTTATCACTAAATATTTCAAGTAAACAAGTAGTAAGACTTAACCTGTTTTTTCATTTATAGAATAAATTACGAATTGCTAAAATGCATACATACACACATGGAATGGATAAGTCATCTGTGGAGCAGGATGATGGAACCTCTGCCTGGCCTTCCCAAATGTTGTGTTAACAGTTAACACTGATGTAATGAAACTGCAAGATCTTGTCATCCTTCATCCACCCAGCAAGCTAACTCCAACTCCCTCACTCCGTTTTTGCCTGTAACTAGTAACCCCTCACCAGTTCTTCCCCTACGCTTCCGCACGTCTGCCAACCTGGGAAAGAAACAGCACGTGCTGATGCTCACATTACTAACACATATGTCAACCAGTGCACATGTGCTGACTTGATGTGCAGAAGTCCAACCACAACAGACACCTAGAGTCAGTGCTGCAGTGTTTTCCTTCAGTGAAGACATTATATTTGCCTTTCTCGCTTTAACCAGCCACTGATACTCAATTACTGTTGCTATTCTCACCTTCAGTCTCATGTTCTGCAAACATATCAAAGTATCTAAAGGCTTTTGGGAAGGATGATCAAATGGACAGAATGCTTGCACAAATCTGGGGGGGGTTATTTGTTTTTTAGTTTTTTGGGGTTTTTTTCCACAGAAAGGGAGGCAAAAAAATACATTTATAGCCTGAGAAGCTGTAGAAGCGAGTTTGAAAACACAAGTCAGACATCACCAAAAGCTGCAATTTCTGCTCCCAGCATGGCTTCTCCTGTGGGAACAACGTAACAAAGACACGGCATATTGCCTTCTCCTCAACATCACATCCACATCACATTCTGCCCTGCCCAAACATACACCCACTAAGATTCTTGTGGGGATTTTGTCAGATAAAGGATTGCTATTATTTTGAGTTTGTGAAAACAGGAAGATCTATCCTTGGCCTGACTGGCTGGGGTTTTTTTCCCCCATTAAGTAACAATATTATGCAGATTATATACTTCTTAAACTACTTAAAGTAGTGGTAACATTGCCCCTGCCATGGAGGTTCCAAGAGACAAGCATGACAGGGGTTATAGAGACAGCAAATAATATAATTACTCCAAAATCAGATGATAAAGAACAAAAAGCATCTTCTTCCCTGATTCCCAACTCTATCAGTTGGCTTACTGAAAAGCACTACTCTGCTGTATGAGACTTACACATCAAAAAGAACATTTTCTTGTAAAAAACCCAAAATGTTCAAAGCTCTGTCTTTACAGATCACATTCTTGACCCTGCTTTGACATTACAAAGCAAACAAAAAGCCAGAGAGCATTTTCAGATAAGGATTCCCTGACATGGATTTCCTTTGCGCTGACCTACATCATCTTTTCCACAAGCTCTAATATCCGCCAACTTCAACAATGCTGATTCCAGCCTCACTTCCAGCACTCACTTCCAGCAGCTGCACAGTTTAAAGCAGGATTTGATAGAGGACTTCAGCAAATAAGAACACGCTCATATGAAATGATGTACATTATTTAACTGATGTAAATTAATACTCGTCATTCAGAATAAATATACCTATTAGGGCCTTAACTTCTATATTTACCACATGCAATGCTTGACACAGCACTATAACTAAATTTTATCTCTCTATTATAAGATTAACAGACTGTAGCCATACCGAGAGGTGACAGCACACCAAGATTTCCCTTTCAGAATCCTTGGATGGGATAGGGAAATCCACTGCTGATGGTGCAGAAGTCTGCTTTTCTCCAAGAACGCTGAAAAGCCCCAAGTTCAATGATGCTATGCCTCACAAAGCTGAAAGTATAGTTATTTGCAGGCAACAAACATCAAGATCCCCTAAGTAAGTGATTCCCAAAGTGTAGAGCATGGAGAACTGATAGTTTTCAGTTAAAATCTGATTAAATTATGATGTGATTAAAGTATTACCAATCAGAGAAGATGGGTGACCACTTCTCCAAGTATTCACAGTCACATTAACACTTTTGTATGAATTCTCATGCCTTGGCCACATTGCAACTTTGGTATAGAGTTCTACTACCTAAAGCCCCCTCCATCTACAGAAACAGCATAATTCTGGAAACTGAACATAATTTATTTTTTACTGAGAGAGCAATTATATTGCTCCAGCTTTCTGTTAACACCTTTCATCTAAGTCGTGATGTACTATTAAGCAACATACAACAAAAACACAGAGCAATTTAACTTATTTACTTGTTTTCTAAGAGTGCTGAGGGCAGTAAGGTTACCCAGAATGTGAGGGCTTGATATGTAGCTTTTATAGAGGCACTTCTTAATAACTTGCTATTCTTACCATCTCAATAAAAATCCTAAATTGTAACGAATACAGCAGCATTCTGGGTAAAATAATATTATAAAACATGTTCCTTCCAAAGTTTTATTTTTCACGTAACTTGTTTGGGGATTTATTTTTAACAAGGGGATTCAATATATACCTTGGCTGATAAAGGTCAAGGGTTCAAGAAACTCGGTCAAAGATGTTATCAGCTGGGAAAGCCATTTCCTCACATCAACACTGATAAAAATCCATCAGAAACCGAGCCAATACCACCCCAGCTCTAAAGGGTAGGAATGACCTCTTTTGAACATCACTATCGTTGCACATCCTATCAAAGAAAATCTGCTTGTGTCTCAATTCTTCTAACATTCTCCAATGACAGATAATTGTCTGCAGAGGCCCCCTTTGCCCAGCGCTGAGTGAAGCTTTCAGATTCTGAACCGGACTCAACACCGATCCAGTGTTTTTCAGCACACTCGGGACCACAGGACAGTAGAACAAATAAACAGTGTAACCAGTCCCGCAGCCTGTCTTATCTCATCCTTGTGTTCACAGAGATTCTTGAGGGTGTAATGTTTACAAATTGCTGAAACTTTCTTTCTTCTGCTTCCTGAGCTGGCAAAAACATATCCTGGACTACCTAAGCAACAAGATTACATTAACTGCTTATCACTTAAGGGAAGCAACTTCTTGCCTCATTGGCCAGCATGCCTCTTCAATGTAGTACTGTTAATATTTTCAGCAAATCTTCCTCAATTCTCCTTACTTATCTATTAATGTATTAAGGGCATTTCCTTGTAAATCCCAAATGGCATAGTTTTAAAAACAAATATATGTATCTATACATATATCCACACACACACACACACACACACATATATATGGAGAGAGCAGTTTCCAATCCAGCTTTCCATGTTAAAAATAGTTTTTAGAAAATTATACCCTTCACCTTTGTCCTGGTCCAGGGGCAGAATTAAATCTAGTGCTTTACTGATGTATCAGGCAACAGCCATGACAGCATCATCCCTTTTGAAAGAAAGAAAGGTACTAAGATAAGATTTTGAGAGACCAGTCTCATATTCCTCTCATTCCCACTGACAAAATATATCAGTGACACGAAACTGAGTAGAAACTCAGTTATAATCAAGTCTTACTATACACCCAGGATACACACTCAAAATCAGATACATTTTTACGAGTCTTAACAAAACAAACCTATGTCTTGTAACAAGATTACAATAATATTTTCTTCTTAGATACCAGCAGAAGAAATTGTGTTTCAACATCAATAAGCCACTACCCTGCTTAACTGCATGTATCCTGGGTGAATACCACAACATGGTTTCAAACAAGCAAAAAAAAAAAAAAATCATCCTCTGAACACTCCAAAATCCATACTGGTACATTTTTAGTCTTTAAAAACTAGATTTTCCCTCCTTCAACACAGACCTCTCGAGAAGCCAGACTTTAGGTTAGAAACACGGTATAGCTGGAGACATGAAGCCTCGTATCCTGTCAGACAAATTAGCCTTCAGTTTGAACTAAAGTGGCACTTGGGACAGTTTGTCTCTTGGTCCCACTTTATTGGGTCAACAAATCAGATTTTTCACTGTGAGTTAAGATTTAATCTACTCTCCACCAGTTTAAATAGGATAAGCTTCTGAATCTTTACTAACCATTTCTACTTTAATACAGCAGTCATCTCTGAATAATCAATAACTAATACAGAAAGAAAAAATAAAAAGTGTAAAATCAGTAACCAGGGCTAAAATTTTAAATGTCATTCAGTATCTTGTTATTTTTGTTACTTTATTTTACTTTTAGTGCAAAAAGTATCCTGATAGAATTCTGTAGAACTAGAACACTGTGCCTTTTAGACAGAAAAAACGAAGAACCTGCTATCTATTAAGCCATGTTAATTTAACATGTCATAACTTGGGAGATAAAAAAAGCTAGTAATTGCTTACAAACCACTGCTCATTTCTTCTTTACTTTCAAAATTTTTACTTAAAATATGAGCAAATGCACCCATTTTCATTGATAAGATGGAAGTAGCCAGTATGGTTTAAGTTATCACCCAGTAATTTGGGCACATTAAACCCAATTCTCTGCTTTTTGTTTATTAATCCACTATGCCAGATATCACAGTTTCACTCAGCAACCCTCATGTTTCGGATGATATTGAAAAATGGCTCATGTTTGTCAAAGAAAGTAAAAAAAAAAAAAAAAAAAATGGTAAA